GGTGATGTTTGTAAATGTCCTAACTACCGGCTATTAGGGCTGGCTTATTTATTTGTAATTAGACAAAATGATAATTATAAAATGATAATATAAAATTACATTTATATGTAGGGATTTATGACATTTATATCTGTAGTCTCCAGCCCCCTGGCCATGGACCAGTAGCAGTCTGTGGCCCGTTAAGAACTGGCTATACAGCAGGAAGTGAGTGGCTGGCCAGTGAGGGAAGCTTCATCTGTATTTTCGGCTGTCCCCTCCCCATCACTTGAATCATGGCCTGAGCTCCACCTCCTGTCAGATGAGCAGCAGCATTAGAGTCTCACGGGAGCACAAACCCTACTGTAAACTGCACATGAGGGAGCTGGGTTGCGTCGTCCTTATGAAAATCTAACATCTAGTGATTGGCGGTAGAGCTGAGGCAGTGACGCTGGGGAGCGGCTGCAAATACAGATTATCATTGGCAGAGAGGTTGCATTATGGTGAGGTGTGTGATAATTTCATTATATATTATAATGTAATAGTAATAAAAATAAAGTGCACAATGAATGTAATTGTGCACTTTGAAAAATCTCAAAACCATTCCCCCACCCACGTTGTGGATAAACCGGCTTCCACAAAAGCAGCCCCAGTGCCAAAAAAGCTGGGAACCTCTAACTTATAATTATAAAATTATCATTATAATTTAACAAAAAGCGGTTTCCTGAGAATCCACTGAAATGCTGGCATGGTCCTGATGCACCTTTTCCTGGTGATGCCTTGTGTCATGTTGAGAACACAACTCTGGCTTTGCTGCCACATGGGTCAGTTGTGCAGATGCATGCTTGCACGGTGATGTGAATCCCCAGCGCATTACATGACAATAGAAAAGAATAGGCTTGAAAGTTGGGCACTATCACAGTTGTCTCATGAGGAAGGTGAAACTTACGATATTTAGGAGAGTGCTAAGGACGTGACTGTGGCTTCAAACAGGATCTCAAACATGCATTTTCAAATTGTCTGGCAGGAACATTTTCATATGTTTATTTTTTCCTTTGTTTATAAATGTTCACAACATCTTTCAGAAAGTTATTTTGGTCCTGCAGGAGAGATACAATGAGGAGCTGGAAGGAAAGTAGGATTAGAAAGAGAGGCAGCCTTAATTTCAAATATTGGACCTCAACAAATCCAATGTCATTGCTTTCACTGCAAAATGAACCAGAATGGGGATCATCTAATCTTGAGCTCTCAGAAGGGGTAGTTGGAGGATGAAGGACTAGCTGAAGTAAGCCTCAGTCTCCCACCTGCCTTGGCACTCTCAAGAGAGGGGCACATTTCACATAGAATATTGTGGCTGCAGGTAATAAAAAACCTAATTTAAGCTGTTTTAAATAATAAAAGAAAAGTTCATGAAAACTTCAGGTTCTAGGGAAGCTTAATCAGTTAAACAAGGAACCATGTGACAAGTTTTTCTCTAGCATCTTCTTAGCCCTCAGCCAACTCCCCTCATGGGTGCAAAATGGCTGCCAGCAACTCTTACAGGATATCTTCTTCCCTGGTCAGAGTCAGGAAGGAGAACATTTCTACCCGTGTGTCCTAGAAAATCTAGGAATCCTGCTTCCTAGAAACCCCTGGAAAGTATTTGTATCTCATTTGACCTCACGGGTCACATGACCATCCCTGAACCAGTCACAGGGACAAGGGGTGGGCTGTGCTGTTTGGCGCCAGTCATTCAGGGCACCCTTGGTCACATGACCATCCCTGAACCAGTCACAGGGACAGGGGGTGGGCTGTGCTGTTTGGCGCCATTCAGGGCACCTGTGGTCACATGACCATCCCCGATGGTCATAGGGACAGGGGATAGGCTGCGCTGTTCAGCGTCAGTCATTCAGGGCCACCCCTGTTGCTGACACTGTAAGTATCCCCACAAGGTACAAGTGCTGAAGAGAGAGAGGCAAAAGGCCTACCCAGGGAGCTGATATTAAGGAGGAGGGTGAACAGAGGCTGAGAAAGTACTCCTGGGGTTCCTTACACATCTCCTCGGAGGTCTGTCTCTCCATCCATCCCTCAAGAGGAAAGCTGATGGGTCTG